TAAGGTACATGACTTAAACATTTTGATGATAAATAAAATTCAAGGCTATAGGCATTACAATATTTACCTATTCTTATGTTATAATTAGTCAACAAGCTTTAATAGAAGTCATCACTGACCTCTCTAGCTGTATTTACTCAAAAATTACAACAAAGACTCTAAAGTCAATTTCATTCAACACCTGCTGTTTGTTTACATTAGGCTGCCAAGATTGTGCTCTCTATAGTAATAAAGGGAAAATAAGTTGTGAGTTTCAAGCCTCTGTTGTGAAGTGTAAAGACAATTTTCTCCACAATTACTTTAGCTACAGACCTAAATGATGGGTTGTATTAAAGTATTTTTATTACTGGTTCAGAATATTTACATATGTTAATGTGCAAAGTCTGGGCAAAAGTTAATTTTAAACAGCTTAACGAGCTGACACCAATTTACAGTATATTAGTCAGTATAAAATAGAAGGTTATCAATTTCAAACACCATTTTGTTCTTTTACATATGTGGATAGAATATTTCCTCTTATTTGGAATTGCATAATATATATTTTTTTTATATGGCTTTAATCTACTTGTTTTTTATGGTTTTAGCTGTTTATATTCACCCCTATCTCTCTCATAATATACAGTCCCTGCAGTGCTACTTTTATTTTCACAATGTTTCTTGTATTTTGCAACAGGAAGGACCATCTAGTGTGTGCAGAATGGACAGCACAACGCTTGCCTGATATCAAACTTTATACACTAAGCATTAACCGAGTCCAATATTCAATGGAGAAAATGTCTTATCAATACAAGGTCGGGGAAAAAGGATTGGGTTCTATCTCAAATGCACTTACAAAATGCTTCAATTTCTGCCTTGTAACATTTTTTATTGCAGAACTGCCAAGCCTCGAGTTAATTTGATTTTTTTTTTATCATCCTTGCTGAGAGTTTTATCTCATCTTAATAGTTCAGCTGCTGAAATGGGATTCAAATTCAGGCCAGATACTCCTTCTTGGGAGATGAGTAAGGGAGCGAGAGAGAGAAGAAGATGAGATTGCTCTCAGGTAGAACAAGAATGGCTCAGTCTTTACTTTTCCTAAACGGGGAAATCAATCACCTTGTATTAAGCAAGAAAGTATTTCACTTCCACTCTCCTGAAATAACATAGTTAACTCTTTCATATTCTTATACCTTTTGTTCAAGGGGACAGTATGAAAATGTTCGTCTGTTGGTGATAACACATCTCAGAATGCTAATTATACAAAGTTTACATCTTTAAAAGTGGACCGTGCATGAAAATTCAAGCTTCATGTAATGAATAGTTCCCCCAAACAGAATTTCAAATTTAAAAAAATGCAAAAATGAAACACAGAAGTAAACAAGGAAAAATAACTTATATCCTAGGTTTGGCATATATATGGGTAGCAGTGACATCATTCAACCTCTTCTGGAATCCTGGGAAAGTTGAGGATCCCAAATCCTGCATTGTACTGGCGCACATTCTTATGGGCTCTGGGATCATCAGCTCTCTGAGGGTCCCACTGGAGGCCAAGGCAAGCCTGATAGAAGTCTGGGTGTACGTTAAGCATTTGTTCTCCTAATTTTCCTATTGTTTTTCATTTACATTTTTGTTTGGGGGTGGGAGGTTTGGCAGTAAGCAGATTTTGCATTTTCATGCAAAGTTTGCTTTATATTATGTACTTAACTTGTTAGTAGTATTCCTTTAAAATCTATAAATCTCGACATAAATATCAAAATGCCTTTATGGGGGTCGGTCTGGAGGAGTGGACATTCCTAGGCAGACTACATTTACATGTGCCCCTATATGAGTTGCCACAGAATCAGATATATTTCTGCTTGTAAATAGTTAATTCTGTATGGGCTGTGAATTATGGCTTGAGGACAGAAAGACCCGGGTATTCCAGCGGCTCCTTCGGGGGTGAGCGCTACACATGCTGGCCACTCTAGGTAACACCTACATGTAATGTTGAGATCCCATGACTGAATGAACAGAAATGCAATGAATGAAAGAGGTAGGTCAATGACAGATGCTACCAAGGACAAGGAGGAAAGCACTAGATCATGCTGTATGCCCTCCTATCAGGAAATTAGATGAGCTGTATCCGACCTACTGCAACTTCTAATTTACACTTTGGGAAGCTTACAATGTGCTGAGAAATCAGACTAAGCATTTTCAGTACAGGAGATGAGCCTGTACCACTATGCAATGCTGAAGGTAATGCTGGAGTTCAGCTTTAGGACTTTTGTTTAAGGTTTTTTTCCCCATATAAATTAAATTACTGTACTGTATATAAAATAAGTGAAAGTTCATCCTTTCTTTCCAGATAATGCTGTTATAGGTTAGGACTGGCCAAGTGTTACCAGTAAGAAGACAGGAATCGCCTGAAGTTTGGATTCTAATGCTCTTCTAGTCTTCCTTCAATGTATGATGCTGTCTGTTCTCAACCCACAGAGCTAGGAGGGAGACACCAGATCCTTACACATATCTCCACATATTAGTTGCTATATTAGGCTTTTATTTTTTATCAGAATCAAACTTCAGTACCAGAGTATCAAAAGCAATGATATCAATCATAATCTCACCATGTGGGAGATGAACATCCACCTGACCCAGAAGTAATAATTCATCCAAACTGAAGTGAGTAAAAAGGAAAAGTTGGAAAAAGGACATGAGCAATAGCATGACATTGGATGAAGAATGAGTAACAAGCAATGAGTGAGGAGTAACAAATATCATGTGAGAAGTGATCAACAGTGAATTTTTTTCAATAGTAAGTTTTGTGTGAAGGTGTACCAACAGTTAATGATACAGAGTGAACGAGTGACCAATATAAAAAGACCAAGCACTAAGACAGCATGGAAAAGCAAACAAGCAAAATATTACCAAGCATGAATTAAGTAACCAAGAGGAATAACCCTAGATGAACTTTCATGTAATTTTGTGTTTTAGCTTTGCCTTAAAAACAGACACTCAGCTATGTCAACTAACTGCTTATTGCACAAGGCTTTTTATGCTAAGTTTGGCTTCCTTTAAACTGAACCTGATTAATGCTAATGTTCTCATGCATGGCATATAAAAGTACTCAGGAATTCTAGTTGACAAATTGGTAGATGTATGGCTTTAAACAGAGGCGACCAGAGGTAATGAAATTCTTGGAAGACAAGCAAGGCAAACAAAGCAACTATTTTACCTTTATACAAATCACTAGTTAAACAACATCTTGAACATATGGTTTAGTTTTGGGTGCCTATCTCTTGTGCCTATCCTAGACATGAGATAACAGTTGAGATGATGATCTAAAATCAATTAGAATTTAGGCAGATATCCATCTGCCCACTGACCTCAGTAAAGACCTTATTTTCTCCTACGAGGAACATGGTACCAGTTGTGTTTTGCTAACCACGTCACTATAAAGCAATCAACACAAAACCAAGCATTTATGTGCCTCAGGCAGCCAACCACAGCACAACACTGAAATTTCAGCTTGAAAAGGACAAAAAAAACTTTATGCATATGTTCTTGGTGACTTCTCATTGGGTGGATCAATTTCACATAAGGAAGGAGAGAAGGAGTGGTAAGAGTGGTAGTGGGGACGGTGGTTGTGAAAAGAATGACAGGGGCTGTGAATGGGTGCTTCCCGGGTTTACATTATTTATACCTTTTGCTATCATATAATTTAGGATATATCATGTTTTTATATTTCTTATATTAAACTGTTAATTTTTAATAGTGATTTAACACAGTGTGAGATACAATCATATTGATTATTATTCATCTACCATCATAATTCATGAAATCACATCCTTTAGTACTATCATCTATTATTGTCAATATTACCAATGTCACCATCGATATTGTTTTTTACTATCCTTTTATTATCTTTTATTTGATAGTCTTAAAGAAGGAGGAGGGTGTTTGCCAAAAAAATGTGTTGGGGACTCTGAATCAAACACTTAGTACTAATCATTGTACTAGGTTACCAATATTACTAGGCACTCCTAAACAAAGGAAGCAGCCTAAAACAGCAAACAGGTCCTCATACATGACACTGCCACTATAGGTCGGCCACAACAAGGGGGGACCGCCTCTGTATACAGAAGAATTTAATTTAAATTGTCATCAATCCAGTTATACCTTACATCCACCAGATTCTTAAACTGTGCATCCATGAATTTCCCCTCTCTTCCCATTCTGGTGACAGGATGTATTATTAAATCTCTCCATTGAGGAAACATAGACTGCAATGGAAAACCTGACAGCAGTTTTGACCTTTCCCATTCTGTGCAAACCATTTAACTTTGTTTAGAAGAATGGGGAAGAGTTCAAACCTCCTGTTTTTTATTGCTGTACCTATCCTGGTGATTCCCATTTCTTCTCAGTACTTGCCCTGCTGTCATATGAAAAACAAGAGAGTAGACAGGTATACAAGCTGAACAGAATCTAGCCATCTAACTGGTTGTACAATACTATCTGAAGTGCTGGCTTAACGTCCAACAACAAGAGTTGCTCTTAGTTTTGTAACCTACTCCAGTGTTGGACCTGCTTTCTGAAATCCCTTTATAATGTTCTTTGGCTTCTACAAATATTTTCTGGTTTCTGAGACTGATTATATTATTGTTTTAGAAGCAGGTTTTACCGTAGTTCCTTTTGCTTAATATATAACTATGAGCCGAGGAAATTTTAAGGTACACTTTGGTAATAGTGTCCTACTGCTGATAATAAACTGATACTTACTGATACAATGTAAACCTGTGATAAAGAGAATTTGAGCATTTAAACAGGCAAAGTGGTAAGTTAATTAAGTGCTGCAAAGATGTTCTGATCATTAAAAATAATTTTTCAAATTGGTTACTATCTTTTGCAACAAATACACAATGTATTCCCAAGGGGCACAAGACTGACTACTGTAGCATTTCACAAATAGCACAAATTGCCAGCTTATGGGTTTTTCTATTACCTTTCTGTAATTTCTTCCTATGATTAATGCAGAGCCACATTACCTGTGTTTGATGGAGTTTCCCAGATCTCTTCGTGGAATCTGTGGAGACCAGCGAGGCACTGATAGTGTGTCTGAAAGCAATAAACCACGATGAGTAAAAGACCAATAACATCCCACATCTCACACCATAAAACCAATTATAGAATCAAGGTTTTAGCTCACAGAATATACATATTGTATGCATTTGATGTGTTATCAGTGAATTCAGTACAAGTTCATGTATCACATTGCTGTGTTTTTAGATTACTAGTCTGGGGATTCCATAAACATTTGCTAATCCCATTCACTACTGCTAGCCATTTTGATAAAATTTCAGTTTGATAATAAGCTAAATTTACTTATAGAATCATTACTGAATTCATTAACATTCACTGTATAAACCGTTAAAAATGCCAGTTCTGTGTTGTTACATATGCTACACACATAAATAAGTACTGTACTTGTTATGGCTTGGCCCCAGCGTAGTGGAAACATTATATTGTGATATCATGTGGGCTGACAATACAAAGGATTTTGTAAATTGAAATTAACATAAATTTGTGTAATTTGTGCCCAGTTGCTAAGCTACTAAATCCCCCCTCTCCTCATCTCCACAACATAGGGGCTTATTGTTTTTTTTGGCCCATGATAAATACTGGGAGGGCAAATTAGACTCATTGAGATAACAAAGAAAGTGTGCACAGGACAGCTCTGAGTTTCTGATATGATCAAAGAAGTATTAATTTGCATTTATCAAACAGATACAACAAAACACTTTCAATGGTATATTTAACAGATGAAAAAGAACAAATAGAATTTGATTGTTAGGGTCTGCATACACTTTAAAGCAGAATGTTATCTATATCTTTAAAATAACAACAAACACACCTTTAGAAATGTTCTGTAATGACAATTTACAAACACATACTTATAAATAATTGCAGGCTTTGTATTCTTTGCATATCTTATTTCTCTTTTCTTCCCCTAGTCTGACAGTGCCCATGTTTACTAAGGGCGGATTACTAGCTCTCCTATTACTTCCTGGATATCTGGCACATGTGACTAGACATGTGACTAGGACATGTGACCATGCACATTATCTCAGGGGAGGAAAATGCCTTTATCTGAGATCCCCTGATATTACAGATGAGATTTCCCATTGATGGCAAGGTAATTCCAGTGTGCATTGCGCTGGCAAACTGAAGTAGTTTGCACTTTCAAAGCAGGAAGTGAATTCTCTGCAAGTGTAAGTATTTCAAATCAAAATAACAGCATTTTACACCTAACATGTCTATGTTATTATTAATCATCATACATAGAGGGATGCATTGGTAGAATTTGATTTTTGAGTGCAAAGGTCCACGTTAAAAAGGTATGCACAAGGTCAACATACTGTATATGACTACTTATACATTTTTTTAGAAAGACTAGGTAACTGTTGCTACTGTGTAATTGAGTGCACTCTGTGTATCCATCTTCCATTTACCAGGAATATGAGGAAAAATACTTTGTTTAAAGAGTAGGTGTCAGTGGGGTTGACCACAGACTATAAACTGCACAGCAATATGGATTTGTTTGGTTTAAATGATAGATCTTTCCTCTGAACCTTCATAGGATAGCTCTGGGACAGGAGTAATTGACTAAATTTGACTGTCTGGGTACCTGGATGTTTTTTTTCGGTATCAGTCTATGAGTTTTACAACCCAACAGAGAACATCCTCTAAACCTGTTTATAGATCAAAGTTAATTATCTAGTGTCATACACACTTCGCAAACCTTCCTTTGCAATTATCAAAAGTTTGGTTTATGTAAAATATGTAGTGGATGGGTGTGTGTGTTTTATCTCTCTGTAGTACAAGCTCCACAAGTTAAAATGAATATGAAAGTGGAGCTCCAACTTTGAACCGTACCAAAAATATTAGATTAGATCTGAACTAATTTCTCCCAGAAGTAGGAGCCAGCTCTAAAAACCACAGAGCCAAGAACCTGCATATGACTATAGAGGTAGCTGAAAGGTACAGTTAAGTGAAAGTTTAAAGGAAAACATTTATTCTGTTCACTTCGAACAAACTTTATTTTAACTAAAATAAAATGATATATTGTTATTAAGTTAACAATAAAAATATGGAACAGAAACTTACTTTACCAGTAGAACAAATTTAAGGCATAACTACCACTAATCAGAAAGTGCCATATGTTCCTAAAATAAAACCAAGGAAAAGTGGTACTTCATGCATATGTTTCATCACTCTGTTCCCTGCACACATGTTCCACCTCTGTACTCCCCTGTACACATGTTCCACCACTGCACCCTCTTTACATCTGTTTCACCACTGAACCCCCCCCCCCCCCCCCCCCCCCCGCACATCTATTCCACCACTGTGCACCCCCCTGCACCACCCAGGGCAATCCCTATACTGATGCAGCCTGGGGCGGTCACCTCAGGCGGCATCTCATTAGGGGGGCAGCAGGTGGTGGGGGGCAGCAGAGAGGTGTCCACAGCATCCCAGGTTGCTAAGAGCACTTAGCAACCTGCAACACTCTGTCCGGCTTCCCACCCAGCTCACTGATGTTATCAGTTGCCAGGGAGCTGTGCAACTCTACTACTGCCTTAAGTGACATATAGGGTAGGGACAAACCTGGCTTCACCCCTGTACGTCCCTGAACATCTGTTCACCACTGTACCCTTTGCATATGTGTTCCACCTCTGTACACCCCTGCACATTTGTTCCACCTCTGTATCCCCCTGCATATCTGTTCCACTTCTGTACCCTCCTGCACATCTGTTCCACCGCTGTACCCCCTGCACATCTGTTCCATCTCTTTACCCCCCTGCACATGCACATCTGTTCCATCTCTTTACCCCCCTGCACATCTGTTCCATCTCTTTACCCCCCTGCACATCTGTTCCACCTCTTTACCCCCCTGCACATCTGTTCCACCTCTGTGCCCTACTGCACATCTGTTCCACCTCTGTACCCCCTGCACATCTGTTCCACCTCTGTACCCTGCTGCACATCTGTTCCACCTCTGTACCCTACTGCACATCTGTTCCAACTCTGTACCCCCTGCACATCTGTTCCACCTCTGTACCCCCCTGCACATCTGTTCCAACACTGTACCCCCCTGCATATCTGTTCCACCTCTGTACTACCAGTAATAGCTCTTAATGACCCAGTCACAAAAAAGGTTTTTCAGTCGCCATGGTGATCTGGGAATTGTCCAGCCCTGTATTAGACATTTTATCCTGATCAGGGTTTCTTCAAGTTTTTAACCTGAAGACCCAAATAGGAAAATTGTTACCGCACTGGTATCCAACAGGGGAAAATCTTACAAAAATGTCATGGCTACATAATTTTAAAAAAGCACACAAACCGTAATTAATGCCGCCCTGAATTCATAAGACATCATGGGGGACTACACAACAATGTTAACTAAACTGGTGGTATGATGCTAGCTATCCACAGCTACTGTCTTACAAATGGATTCTGCTTCAAATGACTTACCCTTCCACAGTTAAAATACTGTTTTTCAAGCTAGCTTGTTTTACCTTAAAGAATTTGTTGGGTTTATTTTCATACTATGTGTGTTTTGGTAAAAATGCCCTTTTGCATGTTAAATTTAAGGCTTTTACTACTAAAAACTTCACCACATATAACACAGTGAAGACACTGTTCTCCATCACTGTAAGCTTTTGTAAAGCCAAGAGCAAAACAATCTTAATGGTATTTCTGTTTAGTAGTATACAGTTCAAAATATTGCTAGGTCTCTTCGCAAGTATTTGAGAAAATATTTAAAATTGATCAGTCCCGGAGAAAACAAATGATGTGGCAACCGTGCAAATCTATGAACATTACCGGACTACTAAAGACAACCGCAATTAAATCCTGCAGGATACGAGATTTTGAGATCAGCTGACTAAAGGGGGATTGAGACACCTAAACTGTGAGTAGGACTATCTCGTGCTATATGGGAACACTCACTGAATTGCACCACAGGTGTATCCCCTTGAATATGCCGTACATCAGAATGAAATATTACTGCGGTGTCATTTGTTTTCTCTGGGACTGATCAATTTTAAATATTTTCTCAAATACTTGCGATCTTGAGACACGAATTTAGTCACTGGTTAGTCGGTTGTACCCTTTCCACTTCAATTGCTCAGAAACCAAAATTACCTAATCAACTCACCTGTTGGTCTGTTTAAAAATACAATGGATGTGAGTGTTTAAATGATAAAGACTTTGTGGAAAGATATGTCTCAAACATACGGAACGTTGTAGCCATCACAGTCAATATGGGTATCTTCCTTATGAGAGGACTTGTTTTCACTTTTCACTTAGATTTTTTGTTTCAGATGCTATGTCATTTTTTTCAACACAATCTCATCAAAGTCCTTTTTCCTAGTTGCTATTTTTATGTGTGGGGCCCATCTGTTTGAATGTAAGAGTGAATGATAGCTGTGGACAGCGTTGTCAATATTTTTATTGGGAATATGGGAAGAAGCAATATGATGGTATTCTACAATTGTTTGTCTAAATAAACTTTTTTTCTACTTATATGCTGGTCCCGGCTATTCAGTAACCGCTCTAGTCAGCGATTCTATATTTCTGACTTTGCTCTTTTCCATAGTATATGAATTTCTCCCTTATTATCATCCATTGCCCAGGATCTCAATGCT